TTATTATATATATATATATATATATATATATATATATATATATATTAACAAGATAGTCGCTTTCCAAACTACCAAAGAATGTAGCTATTAGCTAATAACTACAAGATACAATTTTATGCCAGAGGACGTAGCCTCTAATGAGAACCGACTAGCTGTCGATTTCGAAACTACCAAGGGATATAGCTATTAGCTAACAACTACTAGATACAATTTTATGCGAGAGGACGTAGCCTACTCTATGTCTAATCTCTTACACACACAGCCACAGCCTACAGGTGGTTTATTGTAGAATAGTAGGTTAATTCCTTATGCATACATCATGTAGGTGCCCATTCCGAGGCAGTGGTGCAGCCTTCGACTCTTCGATTAGCTTTCTTTCTTCCTCAGCTTTATGTAGACCCCCAAAAAAAAGTTAAGCCTTCCATCAACATATCGGGAGAACAGGTTTTGGGTACATAAACAATTAAATATGTATTTATTTTTGGTTTCCCCACTCCTTGGACTGTGAATACAGTCATACTTATTTTAATAGATTTAGTGATAATTATATTTTTAACAAAAGAAAACATAGTCTACTTCCCAAACCAAAACTCGTTTCGAACAAAAAAACAAAACAAAAATCATATAGCAAGTTATACTCTTTTGTTTTTAAGAATCAAATATAACTCCTGGTGGGGTGTTGTATTTTTTTTTTAAATACAGTACACAGGTCATAAAATCATAAATACAGTCTTACTTGTTACTGACTAAATATTTTACTTGTTACTGACTAAATATTTACACTGACTACAGTAGAACTGGTACAGTGGTGAGTGGTAAAAAAAATTAAAAACTGGTAACTGGTATTTTTGAAAAATACATTTTTAATGTAACCGGTGAACTTTAGAATCTAAATAAAAATGGCAAACGCTCTGAGTCCTCTGTGTTTACTCTGTCAAAGATTAGAACCAATCCCAGAGTCGAGTACTCGGAGTCTCGGAGTTCAAATTTCGGAGTTCGGAGTTTGGAATCGACGAAAAATTTAATTGTTCTTGTTCTTGTTTTTAAAAACAAATATTCGTGTGTGCATATGTATGTATGTATGTACTGCTTGTACAATTGTACATAAATAGAACAAAAAAGAATGCACAAGAGAACTATTGAAGAGATGAGACTTTAGATTAGACTTGAGACTTGCGAGAGTGCTTGAGACTTAAGACTTGAGACTTGAGACTCTTCTTGACTTTGAGACGTGAAGATTAAGCTCAATACGTTTTGCCTATATGAGAGAAGCTATATACATAAACGCAAAAAGTTTTGTTTTTTAAAGCGTTTTAAAGTATATCGGGGGCAAATCGACCATGAAAATTTTCCAAGTGCACCTCAGAAATTGACCTTTCGTTGAATAACAGGGCCACAAAATGCGTAATGTCCAATGAAAAGCTGATTTTTGTTTAAAAATACAACTGACACAAAATCAAAGTGAGATAATTCGTGACAATTAGGCCGCCTCATAAAAGGTACCTATTTGTAAACCCATAGGACTATATATAGGATAAACTTTGAACGTAAACGCTTATTTTTAATATTATTTTGAAATTTATTTTTTTTGCGTTATTTTTTTAAAGGGAAACGCAATTAGGTTAACTTGAAGAGTTGAAGTTGAGTCGTTAAATCTTTTTTTAATGAAGTCAAAAGATCTGGGGCCCTGGCGGTCAGGCGGTAGCCTCTCTGGGCGGCGGCCGGTGGGCCGGCCAGGTCCTACATTATACATATCTATCTTTTTTTAAAAAGCTCTTTTTATTTTTTTTCAAAACAATATAAACTACGTATGTACCCAATTCATAGCCTCTACTTTTTTTTAAACAAATACATTTTAGGTGTACATATGCATGTACATAGTATTTATTTATTTATTTTGTTTTAAAAAAACAATACATATTTATACATAGCCTTTTAAATTTTAAACATTTATATCATATTTATTTTCTATTTAGTTCTTTTATTAGGAGGCTACAAAATCATCGTGTTAAATTTTGCTTTTGTTTTTAAAAAACCCACAATTAATTATATTACTATCGTTCATCCTGTAATATTTCGAAAACAAACACAAAAGGCAGGACAATTTTTATACACAGAAATAGCCGTAGGCATAAAAAGCACCTGTGCCCTGTGCCCTGTGCCCTGTGCCCTGTGCCCTGTGGCCTTTTTTTTTCTTTTTACTTTTTTAGGCCTCTATTGTCAATTATATCATACTTTATTCCAGGTCCCAGACTCCCAGAGATTTTTTTTATAAGAGAATTACCGTACTGAACCTACCCAGTACCCGCCTATGTATTGAGACTAATTTCCCCTTCGACTACACGACAATATCATTATTCATTTCTGATGTTAGACTTGTAAATACCGCGTTAGTTCAACGTAAAATATGAACATCCCTATGTAGATTGTAGTATATAAAATAAGTCTCGCCGACGGTGTCGTCTCACAAAAAAAAAATATTTTATCAAAGATGAAGAGTATTGTTACTCTCTTAATAACTTTTCTGTGCTTCACGGTTGCACAGCCCGTGAATACTACGCTCGATGGAAATGCCAAAACAACTGTGGCACAACCTGTGAACGTAATTATAGCACAGCTTATGAATATACCTGTAGTACAGCCTGTGAATGCAACTGTCTCACAGCCTATGAATATAACTGTAGTACAGCCTGTGAATGCAACTGTATCACAGCCTACGAATACAACTGTGGCACAGCCTGCGAATACAACTGTAGTACAGCCTGTGAATGCAACTGTCTCGCAGCCTACGAATACAACTGTGGCACAACCTGCGAATACAACTGTAGTACAGCCTGTGAATGCAACTGTCTCGCAGCCTATGAATACAACTGCGGCACAACCTGCGAATGCAACTGTAGTACAGCCTGTGAATGCAACTGTCTCACAGCCTATGAATACAACTGTGGCACAACCTGCGAATACAACTGTAGTACAACTTGTAGATACAATTACTATAGTAACGAGTGCGTGCGATTGTGCTGGGGCAGTCATTGGTACTGTGTGCTACACTTCCCTCGGTGCCGCGGTAAACAGCAGTATAGACAACGACATAATTACGATCGGAGGCAAGCACGAGGTTCCTGAACCGATTGATATTAATACAGTGATTCTTAGCTTCCAGGGTGCAAAGTGTGATAGTGATGCAGGAGAGCTCATCGCCACCTTTGATAATAATGAGACATCCATCCTTCAAGCAATCAACCCGGATGGCCATATCATAACCATAAAAGATCTCGACTTCACATCCGCTGGTGATAACATGGCGGGTGGCTTTCGCTCATTAGGAAACGTCACATGGCCTAGTAAGCAAGGTGTCAACTTGACCTTGCAAAATGTGCATATGCAAAACATGCGCAGTGCACTCCCTGGAGTTGGCGTGTTTGTTGGCAACAGTCGCGGTTTCGAATCCACAAGCGATTGTACCTTCAAGGATTTGACAATGAAGGGAAACACGTCTTCCACATACCCTGGTGGTGCGGCGATCGCCGTCATCGCGTTGTTTGAGCCATACATAATCACCATCAGAGGTATCTTCGAGCGAAATACTGCGAGATATAATGAAGTATGGGCGAGCAAACACTCGCTGGGGGGCGCAGTGTATCTGGACTACATGCAATCGTCAGTGTATATTCTAAACAGCACATTCCGTGACAATGTAGCTAACCAGGGATCGGCAATACACGTTCAAGGTATTTTCAAGACATTCACAGTCGGAGAGGATTGCCTCTTTGAACGAAATATCGCCAAGGACGATGGGGAAAACGCAAGAGGTGGGGCGTTGAGATTTCTACATTTGGAGGAGAATAGTGTGGTTACAATCTCTGGTGTGTATCGGGAAAACCATTCTGAAGAACGTGGTGGTGTCCTCTCCACTAATATACATAACAGTAACAGTACCTTCCTATGGAAAAACGCGTATTTCAGCGACAATTATTCAGCGGCTGAGGGTGGTGTGTATAGTCAGTATTCTTCCCAAGCTGTCGAAGGACGGTTCGTAATAGATGGATCATGTCGATTCAATAGTAACACTGCCTCGACGGAAAAATCTACCATTATGTACATGGCCAGCCACGGCACCATGTCGGACGCAGACTGGGTGGATGGTACATCTGTAGATGTTGTCGAACGATTCAATTTATAAATTCACTATTCTGTTAAAAATGAACAGTAGAGTAATTTTTTTTATGCAACAGAGACGATAAAAAGCATGCGAGTTTTCTACATTTAGCTCCCGTTCTTTTGGTAGAGTGCGAGTTATTTTATTACTGATTCCCATTCTGACCGAGTAGCGGTCGCTGACTGAATTGGAATTGTGTATCACAGCGGTGCATTTGGTTCGATATTGAGAAGTATTGTGCGCTGGTCCGCGTCCAGTCGCGAAATACATGGGGTAGACAACGCCACACTGCAGGAAAAACGGGATAGGCCCGCCTCTGCATAAGCTCCGAAACTCTAGTCTTGAAGGCGTGGGAAGTACGAGTCAAAATGGCTGTCGCGCTGTCTCATCGCATACCATATGTTGCCGAGGTTGTCAATCGCACATCAACAACTAACGTTGGCAAAATTCGTCAAACCGTTTGGTATTCCAATCAATTTTGTAAGTCTTGATTGCATCTTGCATGGCAGGGAACTGACGCTCCTGTGCCCTTAAGCGGACATTTCGGCCATCGCGTTGGTATCTTTCATTTCCATCGACACAGTTGGTGGTTTGATTGCGCTTAAGCGTCAACTGTGTATGATGGGGTTGTTCTCTCAACTCTAGCAGCTATTTGCTGTCCAACAAAATCACACCTATGTGGTGCGAAGTTCCAGTACTGAGAACGGAGCAGCCACGAACTTTGATTGTCGAAGCTTGATAGCCAGCAACCAATGTAGTCAACGCAGAAAATATTTTCCCCTGGGCCACCATTCCAGGCTGAACCTTGATAGCCGGAATTGTGTACCAACTACCTGTCGATATCGGTCATAGTAGCGTCGATCCTCTAGTCGTGTGTAGTCGCTTTCAGGGCCGGATACAGCCCGTACAGTATTTCTCGCGCAAGATCACCAAACACGGGTCGAATCCTATATCAAGCTTCCAGTCAGTCGAATAACTATAGATCCAGTCTCCTCAATCAGATGAAGAAAACATACCAGGGATGGGATGCAAAAGGCATAAAGCGCACTGATGCCGTTGGAAATCCTGTCCATGATCATTGGCAAGCATCGAATACTCCAGCAGAAAAAGTATCCAACACACGGGTACTGGCGAATGTTGGAGACCGTTGGATTATTTCTATCAAATGGTTCTTCCGTTTAGCAAGTCTCGAAGGAGAAACTTGAAACATAATACTGTATCATATGTAAAATGGTAGCGGGTAGCTGAAATTTTGCAGGTCTATGTGTGATTTTTGCCCGATCAAAACTTTCCCCGTCGTTTCATAGTCACGCGACATTCGGGACAATACCACTTTCCTTTCGGCGCTTCGGTGAGACCTACACAGCTGTAGTGGAACCACTCGCGCAAACAACTGTTCTCATTGTCACATCCCACCATTTCACCATAGGACACCTGTTCAACAGCATGAGAAATGATGTTAACATTGAAAAGCTACAGTGTGCCATTGTCCGCAAATCTTGATAAGTATGTATCATCTAAAATTACCGTGTAACATACGCTACAGATATACACCAGTATACTGATGCGTCTCATACAAACGAAACTAAGCGTGTAGGCGCTAAAACAGAAACTTTATAAACCATCACTCACACCTTCGCCATACCTGGTTGCATATACAGTACGTCTCTTCCGTAGGCTTTGGCAGTTGCACGATGATCGCCGGTGTAGGTGTCGGTGTTGCGACAGCACCAGCAGACGCGCCACGATTAATCCGTCTCTGGCTGGTTGCGGTTTGAGCCAACCCAGAGCGCCCTATAGATCCAGTCGCCGTTCGCACGTTCGTCTCTGTTACCTGCTTCTTTGCTGGCGGTTCGACCGACTTCTCCACTCCTCGCTGACGTTCTATAGATAACAAGGATGAGCTTGAGTACTCCTTCCAGATGGTTTATAGATGAATTACAAGTCCTTTTCAAATCCTTACGAGACCTGCAGCAAACACACATATTTGAGATGCGGAATGAACCTGACACAGGCTCTGACAGCAGCGTGACGAAGAAGGGTATGATGTTGCGACAACATCAAGCAAATAGACGGTGTCGCACGATACCACGCCAAAATATTCCGACACACAAAGGTTCAAATGAATGCCATATAAAAGTGCACACCTGAGATCTTAATCCGCAAAACACAGACTACCGATAATTTGTTTGGATTTGTGAAGTCGTGGATCAAACGTAGCCAACCTCGAGATAGCACATTGCGCGCTGCTAAAAGTTTTAGGGTTTTAGGATAAAGGAAACCGCCACACGAATGATCCTAACTCCCCATTAAAACTTCCGAACCACAAATCGATCAATATACGTGACATAAATCGGCACGCAGAAGAACTTGATTCGCGAGCTTCCAATTATTTGTAACTTACTTATTGTATTCCCCAGAACAGCAATTGCATTTGGTTGCGGTGTGATTACTGTGTCGAGTAGCCGAGACCTCTGCTCTCCCATTGCTGTGACACCTGGTTGTTTCTGGAAACGTGAGAGCAGTATGGTTATAACATGTCAACAAAACTTCGAACAAGATCTCTCAGTACTGATATCTCACGATCTCAGCCTACTCAGAAATACGTTAAACTTCACTAGGTACCAAGGGGTGATATCAAAGAAGCATAAAGAGTCGTTTTGTTCGAAGAATAGGAGTATCTAACTCTAAAACCAATGCGATATGAATGATTCGAATAAATCTAGTCACTGAAATGCACTGACTCACCCTTTCCAGATCAAGTTTGAACTTCTTTATCTCGATTTCTAGGCGTTGCTTATGCCTCGTGACTAGATTGAAGGTCTCCACCGCGAGATTTGATTTGCTCTCTGAAACCTGAATCGCTTCATTGTAGTCTGCCAAGATCTGATAGGCAGGAATTCAAGCAATATCACTAAATGTTCGCTACTTTGTGGAAATATCGATTTTAGCACAGGTGTACTTTGCACCATTCTCCTTCTATCATATGACAAATGAGATAAATCGCACATATGCGCCATATCAACACATCAGCATGACAGAGACTGTGTGCAAGACAAGGTCAAATTTTCCAGTTCAGTAAAGAACTCACCTTCTCCATGAGTTCTTCTCGGTCTTTCTGGACCTTCATGCCCTTTGGTGTTGTGCTGCCCACGGCGAACTTTTTCCCCTTGAAGTTGACATCTACCCTTCGCTTGATACTATCGGACATATCTACGGGACACAAGAAATGTTGAAGTTTGCAGTTTAACAATTTGCTGCGCTTCGGTTATCAATCGACTACTTATAAAGTGCAGATATATCGAATTACATAACTGATAAGATAGTATGTTATTGCTGTAAAGGCGGAATCATACGTATACACCACCTTACATCACACATAATACATACTTTCAACCTTGAGATCCAATTCTCGCATATGTGTGAGATTGTGCTTCAGATCTTCAGGAAGAGTCTCGACAGCTGCAATATGATCATAAAATTTGAGAAATTTAGTTGATTTTGCATTGCTGCTGGCAATGAAGTAGGCGCACATATAATAATTCGGTTGCAACTAAATACCGGGCGTTGCTTGCTGATAAAGATCGTAATCGCTCTATAGGAAGAGTTTTACTTCACTTAAATTATCACATATGGTGGCACACCCGTATATCACTTACGGGAAATGGAAGTGTATCTGGATTCACGTATCTACTCATACGTATAAATCAGTCACAAGTTCACTCTAATACATGAACATGCTGATACGTCTACCTGTTTGTACCAAATATACACCAACATAAATTCAATATCTATTGTCTCTCTGCACTTGAGAAATTGCAAGCTTCATTCGATACTGATAACTTGAATAGGAACAACTTACAGTTATACCGTTCGACAGCAGATACAGATGCAGTCATAGATATAAACAAATGTACAAGAATTTGCTAAAACAAAGAGAAAATGAGAATTTCATATATATATATATATATGTGTGTGTGTGTGTGTGTGTGTGTGTGTGTGTGTGTGTGTGTGTGTGTGTGTTGTGTGTGTGTGTGTGTGTGTGTCGTTGTGTGTGTGTGTGTGT